ATTATATGAAACTTTCCTTCAGATTTCTACCTTTCTCACTTCTTCACTCCACAGCATGTATTGCCATACTGTGTATGAGGAATGATTCTTCCCACACGCTGTTAAATTCCGATGCTTTTGGCATGTGGGGCACATTCACTTCCTGTGGGCAGTTCCTAAGGCTCCAGGGAGAGTGCACGTGGCACTGTGGATGTACAAATAATATCAGGTATCTGGGCAAGCACTCATTGAATGCAGCCAAGTAAATAATAAAATACAGCTAAACAAAAGTAAGCTGGCAGTCTAACAACAGACTACATAATGTAAATCAAGAATTAGATCTGGTCCATATTGGCCCCTGCAGATCTCTGAAATTCCTACATTTAAGGCCAGGAGAGACCCTAAAGTTCAGGTAAGTTGAGCTCCTGCATCGCACGAGCCATGGAGTCGCATACACTTCATTCCAGCAGTAAAAATTATTCTTTGCTGAATCTCACTAATGTTGTTTTCCTTAAATCTCCCAAAGGTCATTGCCAGTGTAAGAAAAGCTGATCTCCTCACAGAATGACCAAGACTACTAGGAAACTCATCAAACTGTCCCTGTTTCTGTTCATCATATATTTCTGTGGGGAAAAAAAAAAAAAAAGAAAAAAAAAGAAAAGAAAGATTCAGGGACAAATATTAATTCTTTACCATCTTACTTCTCTTTTGTGTACTTTGTATCTTACAGTTTTCTCATCTCTGAGCAGTTTCAAATATCTTTAAAAATGGAAGATGAATGACTCATCCTTCTGTACTTTAAGTACATCTTCATGTACTTACAACTTCTTTCTCAAGGGAAAGCGGCAACACGCCRAGTTTCTCTGCAGTTCTTTGCAGTGTAGTGTGACTATGACTACATTAGCAGGTTGTGTGGGTACATGAGGAGCAGATCTGTGGTGATTCCTACTGTTGGACACCCAACACTAGGATTATATTTCAAGGAGGAATGCTCAGTAGACTGAAGCATTCCTATTAGATGTGGAGAYGCAGATAACTTGTCCTTGGAGTGGCTTCCAGCTTAGTTTTCCCTGAACAGAACCTGCCGACACACTCTGAGAGCACCATGCAGGGAGTATAAAAGTCTAACAAGTGGGGAATATCAGATTCGCTCCATAAGGACATTCGCTCCATAAGGACATGAACACATCCTCTGTGAGAATTTGAATGTACTTCTTGACATTTCAGGAAAAATGGCAGACAATTGACATTCTTACAGCTTAGACTAGTCTCCCAATTATACAATTACAGGTTACAAGGGAAAACAAAATGTGAATGTCAACATATATCTCCAAAGATGTCACCTAGTCCTAKCTGAATTTACCACCAAACTCAGATGAGAAGGTCTATGTGAGAGGTGAAGGTGACTGAGCCTAGTATAATACAGTACAATAAGAGCCTGCACTTGTTCCGTGGTGGAGATGTAGTTTAAGTGGTTGCCTTGAGGACAGAAAATTATACTGAGGACAATATATGACTTCTGTTTTGAAATGAGATGAGCAAGGGCTATAATTTATACAGGAAGTGATACCGTATATCTGATCCAAAAAAAAAGGACACATCAGAAATATAAGCAGAAGAGAAAGTCAAATGTTAGAGTGGTTTCAGAAACATKGTGAAAGATGAGTTCTGAGGCATGTAAATTGAAAAAGGTAGAAACAATGGTGGAAGAATAGCATTGCAGATTAATAATAGAATATATTGGAAGGGAAGCTTCTCACTAAGAAAGATGCTATTGAAGATGAGCACGAAAGACTGAAAAAAAAGGGAGGGATGAGAGGAGAAAAATAGGTATGGGAACAGAAAAAAAAACAATGTATGAACAAAAAGCAAATTCTGGAGACCGTAGTGTGCCCAGATTTGGGTTTACACTGAAAATCTGCACTTTAGAAATCTTTAAGAAGCAACTGAGTAATCAGCATCTGCTAGCAAAGATATCTAACCACTTGAAAAATCAAAGATGGTATCAGACAGGCAGAACAGGGCTATAGTAGGCCAGGGATATATTCGGCTGAAAATTTCAGCTGCTTCTGAGTAGACCTGTTCAGGCRGCCAAACAGAAGCCTGGTCCCCACTGATCACCGATGCCCCAGTAAAGAAAAGTCAGAGAGACCAAAATTAAAAACCTACAGTTTCTGAAGCTAAAGGAAGCCAGGGGAGAGTGAAGGTGAAGGAGGAATTTGGAGTGGTATTGCAGGGTTCACAAAGTCCTAGATGACTAAATAATTATCTTTGATTCTCATCTGAACTTATAGCTAAAGCCATAAAATGTCAAGAGTGACCAAAGTCACAGTTACAGGCTCATTTTTCAACCGCAGTTGCACAAGAAAGTTTAGAATTACGATTTAGAATTTAGAATTGGAAGTTCCCCCCTCCAATTCCATATCCAGTTTTTCCTGCTCGCATGCTTTTACTTCCTCTTACGTCATTTTGCTTTTATCTAAGCTGATCTGGAAAGCAAAAATAAATGCATAGATAGATAGATAGATAGATAGATAGATAGATAGACAGACAGACAGACAGACAGATAAAATAGGACTAGCACCAGCTTTTGGTTCTTCCACTGGTCTCATTTTTGGTAATGCAGAATATCACTAAGGACATTTTGTTCCAACAAAATGGTTGCTTGTTCTGTGCAACCAGTGCAACCAAACAGTGCTATGTTCTTCAAAGAACTGGAGTGAGAGTGTAACGGCTGCAGCAACATCCAAGTTACTTAGGTCACGGGGGAACTGGCCCACTCTATTTAGACTAAACTTCAATTACACTTGATAGAAGTTTTGTTCAATAATGCACAATATTTTTTCCAATTTACTGTGAGGAACTAGAACTGCTGATTCCAGCACTCAGTGAGTAAGTACTGAAAAAAAAAAGAACATTTTCTTTTGTTTTTGTTTCTTGTTTAACAAAAAAAAAAAAAGAGAGAAAAAAGAAAAAAGAAATCCATTGACAGCAAAAGGAGCAGCTGGCTTCTGAACTTGAGGTTCCCGGCTGCCAAAGCCCAATTAAACTCCATGAAAGGACATTTTAGTAATGACATTTTCCCCTAAAACTGAGTTYTTATTTGTGCAACTTACCAGCATGTTGATCTTTTCTATCATCTACCTTGYTTCAGTGAAGGAACTAAAGGAAGTTAAAAGAAGAAAATAACTTTAGTAAAGATGAAAGTGTTTAAAATATTCAGGAAACAAATGTTTATTATTTTTGTTATTACTATAATAGCATAAAATAGGCGTCCCTGTGGCACTCAGAGACACATTATGCCAAGAAGCAGATCTTCCCTAAATCATTGACAGTCTAAACTGTTGAGTTGTTAAAATGGGAATAAGATGGCAAAAGGTCAGCATTATATCCCTTTTTAAAGATAGAAAATTAAATCACAGGGAGATTAAGTGWCAGGTCAAAGGTCACACAGAAGGCCAGTGGCAAAGCAGGAAAACTGGGAAGTTGTCTCTTCTAAGCTAACTGCAAGACTACCCTTCTTAGAATGTGAAAACAAATCAAGTAGACAAATATCATGTACTAATTGTGATGAAACATCATTATACTAGTAGTGCCTGGCTGCAGCAGCTCTCCTTTACACTGGACACCCTAGAGCAGTGTAGGAGAATCTACGGTGCCTTGGTGTTCAGGGTTGGAATAGTAGTATCAAAACAAGTTTCACTGAGAACAATCTGAATTTCCCTGTCTCATACAGAAATAGAGATTGTCCAGCCTTATTAAGACAGAAGTAAGATCCAGTCCAACAGGATCAACTTGGTTAAAACAAAACCACAATTACTCTTTATTTGTACTCACAGTCCCAAATCAAAAGCAAATTCAGAGAATTAGTCAATGATCAAGTTAATTGCAGCTTTTGAGACACATATTTCTATGTAAGTAGAAGGGACATTTGATTTAAGGGACACAGGACAGGACAGGGCAAGAAACAAACAGGTCATTTTCCCCTAGCTTCCCTTTCCTGAAGCTGCAGAGGCCTGCACCTGATCGGGCATTACAGTACATGCTATCGGAGAGCGTTCACAAGCCCCCTTGCTGGCTCCGGAGGCAGGAAGCTGCGCRTGTCTTGCCAAGGCCGAGCGAGAGAGCGGCAGTCAGAACAGATGCCTGGGCTCTGTTCGCCCTAAATGCCTCCAAGGACAGGGGCCGTCCGGAGAGTCACTCCAGGCTGCAACCCAGTCACCTGCAGTCACTTCTGTCACCTCACAGGCAGCACAGGGAAGTCCAGGTCAAAGCCAAGGTACATACTCGTGGTGTTTCAGCAGTACAGCAAGGCTCTGYCCTGGCAGCTTTCCCCGCAGGAGTGCACGGAGGAGCACGGTGCTYGGCTTCTAACCTCGGGCCAGCCTGGCCGGAGGAAAGGCATGTTTCAAGAGGGGAAGAGAAATAGCAGGGGCTCCTTCTCAAAGTCTTAACCCCTCTGTCTGGAGAGTTATGGCTGCCTTTGAAACTGCTCCTCATGCATCTATACTTAGCACTGGGGCAAGGAGCGCGCGCGCGCGCGCGCGCGCGTGTGTGTGTGTGTGTGTGTGTGTGTGTGTGTGTGTGTGTGAGTGCAAGGGGGCTGGGGCGGGCTCAGCTTCAGCCCCACGTCTCTCTCCTCCAGCCGTGTCCGACTCCACCACAGCTCCCCCGGCCTCCCGGCCCAGCTCATGGGCTTTCAGATGGGGGGGTGGAGGGAGTTTGTGTTTGTTTTCCTTGTTTTCCTTTTTTTTTTTTTTTTATTATTTGTTCCCCTCCCGCCCCCCCCCCCCTTCTCTAAACAGGAGATGTTCTTAGGACAGCGCCCAGGAGACTGGCTGGAATCAGATTTGGAGGGTGATGCACCACGACAGCTAAAAGTTGGATAGGGTTTCAGCAGCTCCTATATAAAGCAGGGGAGGACTTATGTCACCGCACTAATTAAATTCCATCTGGGTTGTTCCTCGGGGTGTTTTTGAGCCTGCCACCCAACTCGGGCAGGCAGAGAGGCCGCGGGGACAGCATGATGATGGACCTTTTTGAAACGGGCTCCTATTTCTTCTACTTGGACGGGGAGAATGGAGCCCTGCAGCAGCTGGAGATGGCAGAGGGCTCCCCCCTGTACCCAGGCAGCGATGGCACCTTGTCCCCCTGTCAGGACCAAATGCCGCCGGAGGCCGGCAGCGACAGCAGCGGAGAGGAGCATGTGCTGGCACCACCGGGACTACAGCCCCCTCACTGCCCCGGCCAGTGCTTGATCTGGGCTTGTAAAACCTGCAAGAGAAAGTCGGCCCCCACGGACAGGCGGAAAGCGGCCACGCTGCGGGAGAGGCGGCGGCTGAAGAAGATCAACGAGGCTTTCGAGGCTCTCAAAAGGCGGACTGTGGCGAACCCCAACCAGAGGCTGCCCAAGGTGGAGATCCTGCGGAGCGCCATCAGCTACATCGAGCGGCTGCAGGACCTCCTGCACCGCCTGGATCAGCAGGAGAACATGCAGGAGATCGGGGGCGACCCCTTCAGCTTCAGCCCCAAGCAGGGAAATGTAAGCGCTGCCGCCTGCTCCCTCCCGCCGCGCTGACATCCAGCCGCCCCTCACCCTCTCCCCGCGCCCTTAGCGCGGCCTGGCGCCGGCCCGGGCCGCCGGGCACCGAGCGGCGGCTCCTCGAGGCAAGCGCAGCCCTTCGGACCTCCAGCGGGCCGGGSAGCCGCCGGCCACCGCTCTAACCCGCGCTGTCTCCCCCTGTCTCTCCCTGCCCCCTTTCCCCTCCTCCCCCGACCCGACCCCAACCCTTACCCCAACCCCGCCGCCGTGTGTTTGCTTCAGATCCCCAGCTCAGACTTCCTGAGCACCTGCACCTCCGACTGGCAGAACGTTTCCGACCATTCCCGAGGGCTGGGAGTCAGTCCCAAAGAAGGTAACCGGCGCACGCGGTGAGGGCGGGCGGCGCGGCGAGCGCACGCCGACCCCCGCAAGGGCCCCCGAGCCCGCGGACGGCCGCCGAACCCGCTAACGGTTGCCGAACTGGTCGGCTAACAGCTTCCAACCCCCCTAACGGTCGCCGAGCTGGCCGACTAACGGTTTCCGAGCCCGCTGACAGCCGCCCAGACGGCTAACGGTCGCCGAACCCGCTAACGGTTGCTGAGACGGTCGGCTAACAGCTCCAAAATCCGCTAACGGTCGCCGAGCTGGCCGACTAACGGCTTCCGAGCTCGCCAACGGTCGCCGAGCTGGCCGGCTAACAGCTGCCGAGACCGCTAACGGCTGCCGAGACCGCTAACGGCTCCTGAGCCCAACGGTCGCCGAGCTGGCCGGCTAACGGCCATCAAGCCCGCTAACGGCTGCTGAGCCCGCTAACGGATCCTGAGCCCACTAACGGTCGCCGAGCTGGCCGGCTAACGGCCGCCGAGCCCGCTAACGGCTCTCGAGCCCGCGCGCCGTCTCGTTGCTGCCGCGGTCAGAGGCCCTCACGGCGGCCTCGCTCCCTCACGCTGCGGCACTCCCGGCCAGGAGAAGCCGTTTGGTCTCTAATCTCTATTTTCTGTAATTTCCCACTTAAGCAGGGGCCTCCATCGTCGAGTCGTCGGCTTCCAGCAGCCTTCGCTGTCTTTCTTCCATAGTGGACAGTATCTCTTCGGAAGAGCCCAAACTACCCAGCGTGGAGGAAGTAGTGGAGAAATAAATCCAGTCTCTCTGGTAGTATATTTAACAGAGATGGAACCCCCCTCTTCCCTCCATCTCCCCTACAGCCTAAATTAACGAATTAAATTAATACAGAGAAAAGCCCAGGCAGGGGCCTTGCTAAGGGTCGAGTCAAGGCACACTTTCCCGAATGAAAATGGCCCTCGACGACTCGAACCATAAAGACTTTCCTCTCTTTGCCTTTTTATTTTTCTCTGGGTTTTGTTTTCTTTAAGCTGCGTTGCATAGACCACTTTTTTTTTTCCTTTTCTTTTTTAATACTTACTCGTGTACCAGTGATCCACTTTGTCCGATTCTCACCAAAAAGTTCATTCCTGTCTGAGTGAAGCTGTTGGTTGCATTTCATGTTATTCGTATTTAAAGTGTTCCCGACCTGTTTCTTTCTCTTTTTTTTTTCTTGTAAATAATTTCACTACTGTCGTTTCTTTTTTCTTTCTTTTTTTTTTTTTTTTTTTTTTTTTGTAAACATGACAAATATATATTTAAATGGTGAACTGTGATACTGTATATAAGAACAGACGGATGTCTCGGATTGTAAAAATAAAGTTCTTTGTGTTACAGAGTTTCTCCCCGCTCCTTCCCCTCCTCCCTTCGCAACTAAACCATAGCCCGACCCTGGAAGCCAAAATCTGCGAGACGGAGCCGCGAAGACCCAGCCCGCAGCGTCTGCCCTTGCCTAGGGGCGCTCCGCGGCGTTACTGTCCTTGGGGGACAAAGCCCCTGGGGGGCTTTGTTTCTTTTGGGCTTTGTTTTGTTTTCTTTTTTTGTTGYTTCTGCCCGTGGAAGCAGGGCGTTTGGGGCTGCCTTTTCTCGCCTCTCGCTGCCGGCCAGTGCCCGGCCTGCTGTGTGTTTGCATGTGCCTTGCCTGCGGGAGCCGCACACGCCGCGGGGAAGCCCGCGCAGCCCCAGGGGCGTCTCGGCCTGCGCGTTTTCCTTCACCGCCGGCCCTGCGGAGCGCCCAGCGCCCCTCACCCTCTCCTCTGGGCGCCGGGGCCGTGAGCGCGGCCCCAAGTGCGGCGCAATTTATAGCCCCGCCGCGGCCCGGAGGCCTCCGCGGTCACTCCCCCGGGCTCCCGCGGGGCGCAGCGGGGCGCTCGGCGAGGAGGGGGTTAAGCGGCCGCCGCGGGTGGCGGCGCGGGCAGCGACGGCGACGTGCGGGGCGTCCCGCGCCGCGAGGGGAAAACGGGAGAACGCGGGCTGCGCCGGGCGGCGCGGAGACGCGGCGGCCCCGGCGCTCGGCCTCAGCCCGCTTAACGGGCTAAGAAAACCGTTAACGGTTTCTGAGCGGCCGGGGACCCCGGGGCAGTGCCGGGGCGGCGAGCGCGGCCGGCGGGGGCTGCTCCGAGCGGCGGGGGCTGCTCCGAGCAGCGGGGGCCGCTCCGAGCAGCGGGGGCCCCGCGCCCGGCGCCCCCCGAAGGACCTGCCGCGCGGGCAATTAGCGCCGTGGCCTTTCCTATTAACAACGATAATCTTTACCTAAGCCGCAAGCCAAAGCAAACAGGGCCCTGCAACCGCCAAATCAAAGGGTAATAACTGCCGAAGGACAAGAGGGCTGTGATTTAATCAACTCTTTTTATTTATTTATTTTTCCAGAGGGGCCACGAGCAAAGTTACCAACTTTTCCCGATTCCCTCCCCGCTCCCCCTTTTCTCCGCAGCTCCTTTAAGGTGGAACCCGACGGGAGCCACCTGCGCGCCGCGGCCACCGGGCACCTGCGCGGCCTCGCCGTTTAAAGGCCCTCGCTATTATTATTATTATTACTAATCATTGTTAATTATTGCTGCTTTGCATTTGCCTCTCTAAAGCTGCCTGCAAAGCGCACAGGGAGGTGGGCAGCTGGAGCAGACCCAGCTTATTTTCCGACGACGAGCTCTAGGACTATTTCCACGGAGAGGAGAAGGAGAGGAGAAGGAGAGGAGAAGGAGAGGAGAAGGAGAGGAGANGGAGAGGAGAAGGAGAGGAGAAGGAGAGGAGAAGGAGAGGAGAAGGAGAGGAGAGTCCCTACTTGGGTCACTGTGGGGGGAAAACGCACACGATTTTTCTAGGGCTTTCCCCTCTCTTTGGAAAATACAGTAAACATAAATAAATTAAGAGGCGGTTTCCAGACACGGCAGAAGCAGGGCGGGAAGGGCTCGTCTAAACGGACCATGTGCTGGCCAAGACGCACCTAAGGCTGCAGCAACTAGCGGCTTTTCCCTAGTCTCACGGCAGCCCGTAAATAAACAAACAAACACCCACCCCGCTCCCAGCCGCGCCGCTTTGCTCTCGCCCGGGAGCCGCAGGCCGGGCCGGCGGGGCCGATGCAGCCCGGCGGGGACCCGTGTGTTCGCCCAGGGGCTCCCGCTTCCCGGCGCGCCCCGTTCGCGCCGTTCGCAGCGTTCGCGCCGCTCCCGTGCCGTTGGCCGCCGTCCGGGGCAGCGCCGGGGCCCCGACCCTCGAGGGTCCGGCAGCCTCGTTAGCTGCCCTTGCGGCTCGCGTTTGGGCTCCTGTCTGGCCCGGAGGGGACACTAATTACAGCGGGTTCCTGCCCCGAGTGACAGGCGGGTTCCAGCCCGTTGGTTTTGTTTTTCTTCTTCTTTCTTTTTTTTTTTTTTTTTTTTTTTTTTTTTTTTTAGAGGGGGGCACGTTTCTCAGCACCCCCATCCCCTCAGGATGAGCAGTTAGGGCTCTGCACGCAAGAGGAGCGGAGCGGGGGCAGCGGCGCTTGAAGAAAGACGCGTTTTCCCCGCGAAAAAACGCGCAGAGCCGAGAGCGGGACCGCTCCGGGCGGCGCCGAGGAGCAGCCGGGCAGGAGGCCACGCTCCGGCCGCCTCCTTGGTAGGGAAAACTGGGGAAGCTGCCCCGTCCTGCGACCCGGCTGGAACTCCAACCTGCTCCTCAAGACAAGCACCTTCCAAGCGGAGCTTTGGAGGCTCGGCGCCTCCGCCGCCTTGCTGTAATTCATTTCCCAGGCCCAGGTCGCTGCAGCCGGGCTCGCCGTCTCCCCGCTCGCCTTAGCTCCGCAGCATGATTTCATTCGCAGGTACCGAGAGGTCGCCTTTGCCCCCTCGTCATGTTTCCCTGCGCTACAAAAGCCACCTGGGTGAAACCGAAGGCTTCCCGCGCGCTACCAAATGCCTGTTAAATGGCTTCATTACCGCTAATGACCCCTGCACGGGGGCTCGGCCGCGCAGCTTTTGTCCCGGGCGCTTGTGTAAAGTTACTTAGGGGCTGCGGGGGTAGAAACTTTACACTTGCAGGAGGGCTTTGCTGCGCCGGCAGCTGGGACGCATCTGTAACGGTGCGAGCAGAAAATCGGGCAGCCCGGCCCGCTGCCCCCCGAGCAGCGGCGGCTCCCACGGGAGGGGCAGCGGCGCCAAGGGGCGCGTCCGGCACCAARCACGCACCTTCTGCCTCTTATTTACTTGTTTGTGAGTACCCTTCCGTGCGGCCCTGGCCGAGGGCTCTAACACTTGAACTCATTCTCCTCCCCGCTGCCGCCACCCTCTGCGACACCCGTTTGTGCCGTCCAGCCCAAACGTGTGAGGGCAAAACTGGGAGTGCGGGACAAAACACCCCCTAGGATAAAACGAAATCCATCGGGGCTGAGAGGAGGGATAAAGGGGCCCCAGCAGGGACCCCCCCTGCGGCAGGGGACACGGTGTCAACCGAACCAGGGCAGAGCCAGGGGGAAATTCCCCCCCTCGCTCGGTGCGAGCCCCGGGCCCGTGGGGAGCAGCCGGGCCCTGCGAGCGGCGCCCGGGAGCAAATTGTGGCCGGGGGGCCCGCAGGGGGCCTGCCCAGGCCCCCCCCCCGCGGGGGATGCGGTGGGATACGCGCCTGGCGGGAGCGGCCTCCCTTAACGGGATATATAAGGGCCCCGCTGCGGGCTCGCGGCCGCTCCGGCGCGGCCCGGACACGTCGCCCCGAGGGCAGGTCCCGCGCGGCCGCCCCGCGCCATGGAGGCCGTGGAGGCCATGGAGGCCGTGCAGAGCTGCCGCTTCTCCCCGAGCGAGCTCTTCTACGACAGCTCCTGCCTCTCGTCCCCGGAGGGCGACTTCGCCGAGGACGTGGCGGCGCGGGCCGCGGGCGCCCGCGAGGAAGAGGAGGAGGATGAGGAGGAGGACGAGGAGCACGTGCGGGCGCCCCGCGGGCACCGCCAGGCCGGGCCCTGCCTGCTGTGGGCCTGCAAGGCCTGCAAGAGGCGGCCCTCGAGCACGGACCGCCGGCGGGCGGCCACCATGCGGGAGCGGCGCCGCCTCAAGAAGGTCAACCAGGCCTTYGAGACGCTCAAGCGCTGCACGGCGGCCAACCCCAGCCAGCGGCTGCCCAAGGTGGAGATCCTGCGCAGCGCCATCCGCTACATCGAGAGCCTCCAGGAGCTGCTGCGCCAGCAGGTGCAGAGCTACTACGAGCTGCCGGGGCAGAGCTGCTCCGAGCCCGCCAGCCCCGCCTCGAGCTGCTCGGACACGGTGAGCGGCCGCGCGCGGCGGGACGGGCACGGCGCCGGGCACGGGGCCGGACGGCGCCGCTCGGACGGCGCCCGGGCCCTATGGCAGGGTGCCGGGGGGCAGCGCCCGGGGGCTCCCCCTCCTCGCGCAGCGCCGTGCGGGGCGCAGGGGAGCCGGGCCCGCGACCCCCGCTCCGCTCCGCGCCGGGGCTGCGCGGGGCGCCCCTCACCGCGCCCGCTCTCTTGCAGGCTGCCTGCGGCAGCAGCCCCGGCTGGCCCGCGGCAGGCGGCAGCCTGGGCGCGCTCTGTTGCCCCGCGGCGGCGCACGGTAAGAGCGGAGACCCCTTCCCCTCCCCGCGGCGCGCCCCGCGCCCGCTGCAACGCGCCGTCCCGCCCGCGCGCAGGCCACGCGCCGGAGCCGAGCGGCGCCCTCTCCAGCCTCGACTGCCTCTCCAGCATCGTGGAGCGCCTCTCGCCGCCGCTGCCCCCGGGCGCCGCCGCCTCCCCCGCGCCCGCGCACGGCCCGGGCACGCCCGCCACGCCGCCGCCRCCGCCACGGACCTACCAGGCGCTATGAGGGGCCCGGGGGGGCGGCAGCCGCTGCCCGCCCCCCGGCCCTGGCTCCCCTGCGAGCGCCGCCCGGGGCCGCCCCGTCGGGGCCCCCGCCGCCAATAAAACCTCTTGCAACAGAGCAGCTTGGCCGGGTGGTTCTTTAAGGCCGGGCCCGGCCCCGCGCGTCGCTCCGAGGCCGGGCCCCGTCACGGGCCGTGCAGCGACGTGGGGACTGCGGGGCCGTCGCTCCCACCACGAGTGGGGCTTAGCGGGGGCTGCGCTCCGAGGGGCAGGAATTGGCAGCTTCTCCCCTCCCTCCTCCCCGAGGCCGTGGGCAGTTTCTCTGATGCTTGGGGGAGTAAGCACGGTGTCCTGACACCTTTCTCTTTSCTTTCTTTATTTCCTGGCAAAGCCCTCGTTGTGCTCGGGGGGCTCGCACGAGGACTGAGCGGGCGCTTGGAGATTCRGCCCCAAATTCGCGTGGTGGCTCTGCAGCGTCGTGGGGCCCCGCGCGGCCGCTCCGCAGGGGAATTCTGCTCTCTCGGAGATAAATTTAGCGGAGCTGGTAAGAACCGACCGCAACCTCCTYTGGCGCAACGGGCAATGTGCATTTCCCAATGTTCAAAAGCAGTATTGAGGAATGTGGTCCTGATGTCTTTGATCCCCACCGACTGGCATGAAAACTTGTGACTCATCCTGTAATATTTGCAGTCACACATGCCCAGAAATAGCCAGGTGGAGCCTTCGTGAGTTTCAGAGGTAACAAATATTTCCTTCCAGGCACTACTAGCTCTAGCTCTTACTACCATAAAAAATTTCCAGTCCTTTCTACTTCTCYAGTTGTCATGCAAAGCTTCTCTAGCCCCCATCAAAGCGCTGAGAGGGAGAGATGGTTCCTTGGGGCAGCTGGGAACGTCTCCCATGCCCAGCACTCCAGGTGGGAAGGGATCTGCGCTTCGCTGGCATGGGAGAAGGCTGGATTTKCGGTTGGTGTTTGTGGCGTTGGCTGCGGGTGCTGGAAGCAGCATTTCCCCCAGGGCACCTTCCCCGTCTCCCGCATGGCTGCGTYGCTGTGGGGGTCTCCCTATTCCCGGGCTGCTCGCTCTCATGCAGCCCCCTGTGCGGCACAGAGCACTTGGGGTGGTGGCTCGGGAAGAGCCAAGGTTCCGCCGCGTCCTGGCCGGCACGGCCTCCGGAGCGTGCGGAGCAGCACTGCCGGTCACATGCCGGTAACCGACACCTCTCTGGCGCTTGCAGACCTTCCAGGAGCTGCAAAAAGGTCAGTAGTTTCGGGAAGCMCCTTTTCTGAGCACAAGGAGTGAGTGGAAGGGTCCGGTGTGTGGGATCCTGTTCGTAGCTGCCGCAGCCACGCGAGGCAGGATTGCCACCTCAGGGTCATGTTTTTACCATCCGGCTCTTGTATTCCAGGACAACCAGCTCTTAATTGGAGGATATCTGTAAGGAAAGCTCCCATGAACCAGAATGTGCTGCAATCTGTGGAGACTTGGAATGAAGAAGTGGAAGGCTGCTTACGGACACACACAAACCCCCTCTAGCCTGTGGAGTAGGAAGAACCAAGTATAAAGTCAGGGCTATTGTGGGAGACAGGCTGTTGTGGTCAGATTTTGCCTATTCAGAAAGAATCAGTGGTACCCAAAATGAGGCCTTGGCCTCTGGGTAAATCACATTCTGTTAAAGAGGGCTGTGCTGTACAGCTGTGCAAGAGGTCTAGATGATGGTCTAGAAAACRGAGCTCCATCTCTCCTGATCCCTTGGCTTAGGGATCTTGCGCATTGGTGGGTGCGTGAAGTGGTGCCTCACAGCGTCAGATCAACGTGACACAGACCATGCTCCCTTGGCCTGACGTTTCCTGTCACTCATTCACTGCAGGGAAGAGCATAATTCCCTGCAATCTTAAAAACAAAATCCATATTGCATTTCAATTCAACTTTTGAAAAAGGTACTTCCTTAGCTTATRCTCTGAATGAAAGAAGCAGCTGCACTTATTATTCTGAGCCTCTTTTATCTTTAAAAGAGCCTATTTTATCTTTCATTAAGAAGCCAGGCAGAAATCTGCAGTGAAATAAATTCTTCAGTCTTGCATCGAAAGGTCCACTGGCGGTCACAAAACCAACACAGGAGCCTAGCAAAAACCTCCTAAATATAGTGTCAGGAAAATATCTTCTCAAGGAAGAAAGAGACCTAATACTTTCTGGAGCTGTGTTGCTGTTGTTAGAAAATATGCAAAGCTGGACTTTAGGCTAAAAGTCCTAGGAAATCCTGTCTTGAAGGGCCGGTATTTCCTTACTCCCTTTTCTTTATGGGAAAAAAACAAACAAACAATCCAGAAAACAAACACAGAACCCCCACCATATATTATTCATGTAGACAACAGATTAACCTTTGTCTTCCATCAGGAACAGTCATTTCTGCTGTTTGCAAAACATGTACCTAGGCACAGCTCAGATTGCCGACTGTGTTTTGGGGCTAACTCGGGGTTTCCTCCCTGGCTGCTCCGCGGGGTCTCAGGACACAGCCCCGCCGCTGGGGAGGCAGCCTCACAGCCGGCCACAGCTGGCGCCGGGAGCGCGGCCGGAGGAGAGGAGCTCAAGGAGAACACGGAGCGTTTTTCATTTACGTTTTCCCTCAGGCTGCTGATCCTGGGCTGGGGCCACTGTGCCGCGCCCCTCTCCCCATTCAGTCTGAGGGATGCAACCATCCATGGGCTACGGGCAGGGAATCCTCCTCGTGCTCACCCCATGGGCAGATGTTTCCTAAAGTCGGCAGCTCCCCCTTTTCCTACCTGAGGTGCCCTCGGGCCTCCCACCAGGCCCACTAACCTCCCAGGATGCTGGCCTAAAGCTCCTTTAGTTTCTGCTGCACAGAGGGACCATCCAGCTGTGGTGTGGGGGTCCCTCAGAATCATAGAATCATTATGGTTGGAAAAGACCTTCAATATCATCCTATCAACATCTATCAATTCTATCAATATACCTTCAATATCAAGACCATCGAGTTCAAACTTCTGCACTGACCTACAAAGGCATCACGTGGCTGTGCAGGAAGACAGAGTGCTTGGCATGACAGATGGGGCAGGCAGGCTGGTGACAGAGCAGGGGGGTAGCTCTGTGGCTGCATTAAATCAAGTGCTCCTGAGTTTGGGGCTCACTGAGAGGCCTTCCAAGTTGGTGCAGGAACAGGGGAAGACGGATCCCATTAAGAGCCTGCAAAGGAGCAGCTCCCGCAAGTCTCCCTTGCCAGATGCCATCACTCTCTATTTCTCCAGGCTTTTTATTTTCTGTTAATATAAGCTCCCAAACCCCTTTGGTTTTCTGATCTAAACATTCCTAAGGAATTTATGGTAAGAGAAAAGTTCTACAAAGGAGCCCTTGAAGCTTTGCCTCTGATTTTTGTGTCTAAGCGCCCAACCCCTATTGACTGCAGTGGGTGTCTGACCCAGCAGAGCCTGGCTGCAGCATGRAAGTCAAGACAAGATGCTCATTATTCATCCTAAAGAGCCAACGGGATTGAATCAAGGGATTGAATCAAGGCCCTTGCTTTTCATTGTTTGCTTGCACACTAATTTGTGAAATATATAATGGAGAAAACCCCCTCCTCCAAATTTACAACTYGCCTGGGGGCTTGTGGCAACTACCTCGATAGACAACAGAGATGAAGGCCAAAAGCCTTCCTCAAGTAATTGAGTTGTGTTGGTGACTTGGGAAAGTGGCTTCGAGAAGAGCCCGGAGAGGGGCTGGAGTAGAGCCCGCCATTCCCTGGTGGGTCTTTGCGCTGGTCCTCAGTCCTCTGGCTCTCTCCTTGGATATTTTGGGGTAACAGCCGCTTGTCAGCTGGAGCAGACYGCCAGGCCCTGTGGTTCTGGTGTTTCCTTAAAGCTGTGCCATGAACTGGGAGCTCCCTTTGGAAGCTGCTGCAGGAGAGAGGCCCTTCCTACAGGAGGGCCCATGTCCTGCTGCTGTGTGTGGGGATGCTCAGTGCCCTCGGGGATAAAGGAATTGTGACTCCCAGAAATGTCTGGTGCCCAGAGAAGAGGAGCAGCCACATGAGCACGGGCAGGCAGCCGTGTCCCGCCTGAAACACACATTTTTTCACAGTGTACAGATTTCTCACATTTACCGCTGGGGTGAAATACAAAAGTGACCGACCTTTCAAATGCGAAACTCATTATGTCTAAACATCCTAGTAAGTGGGACAGAGAAACTTCGCTTAGAGAAGTGCTCCCGAAACTGCTCCACGGGGTCCCTGGATAGCCTCTCCCTCCCACACCCCATGTCTGCCCTTGCACCCTGTGAATCCCCTCCAGCCGCCCRCCCTTCCTCACTCTTCCTCACTTGCTCGACTGCTTCCTTTCTCCACTAGAGAATTCCCAGCCCCGGCTTTGTTCCCCTCATCCCGTAGAATCCCAATCCTGCTCCCTCCTCACAGCTTGGGCGGGTGCCTGCCGAGGGCCTGGCAGAGGGGCTGCTGCTCTGAAAGCTGCTCCGTTCGAAGGCAGAACCAACCTGTTCTCCTTCTAATCTGTGAAATGGCTTCGCAGCAGAACAGAGAGACCAGGGAGTTACGAACTGGGGAAGAAAAACGTAGAAGAAAAAAAAAAATCTGTGCACTCACTCATTTAAAATTCATACTCAGGTTGCAAATGTTTATTCTGCAGTTTGCAGTGCCAGCTTTTCATGGCTAAATTGCACACATGCCATTTACTATGGAAGATGAGGACTATGAGAACAAGTTTCTGTGCTTTGGTGTATGGTCTTGCTTTAATACCTCATTTCAGCAATACCGAGCTTCCTTCTATTCCTGTTTACAGAATCTTTAGTCCTCTGTTCTGTACTGCTTTTGTTCTCCTTTCCTTTTTCTATCTGTAAACAACTTTTACTGTTTCTAAGCAAAGAATTTGGTTACATGAAAAAGTTTTGAATGACAAAATGTGTGGAAAGAAATCTTTATCTTTGTGCAAACTTTCTTTTAATCAGAAATGGTATCTATGAAGTACAGCTAGGCAACTAAGGTTATTCCTAATGCAAGCCCAGTGAACCCCCTGGAGTCTCACCAGGAACAGATTTGGGCCAGAAGGCCTAGAATACAATTACAATATATTCATTTTCTCATGCCTCGGAAACTGGTCTGTTTATGTGCCAAGCTGTAAAGCGATATTCATGATGAGTGAAGCCTGAACAACGTTAAAATATCCAGATCCTCTGCTCCAAATCCTCTGGTATCTGAAACTGGTCCTTTGGGGAGGAGGAGGAGGCTGCCCCTGCTCAGGGTGACCGAGGGCAGGGGCCGAGTCAGGCTCAGTCCCACGACCGCTGCGGCTCAGGCTGTGCTTAAAGCGCTGCCCAAGTCCCGCCGTTCTGGAGCGCCTCCCAGAACAGCTACCCTTGCTGTTCCTGTGGCCGCAGCCTCCTGGCTCGGAAATCCTGAGAAGCTGCTGCACTACCTCTCCCAAAAATCCACTTTGAAAGGATGCTTTTTGTTTTTTTTTAATTRAAAGTGCTGTGGAAAATTGCTTTTTTTTTGCAATTATAATGGAATGGTGGTTCACAGAGCTTGCAGCTTGCAGGAGGGCCAGGGCTCTGGGTCTGTTCACACGCTATGGAATACCAAGGAAAATCACGTTTTCTGTTTTCTTTGGCCATGATTTCCAGAAGCAGGAGCATGACACTAAACTTACCTATAGCTGCACTGATTCTTCGTCCATCTTGACCATAACCTGCCTCCACTGAACACCAGGATAGAGGCGAAGGGCAAGGAATTATTGATAGTCTCTTGTTCTCTAGCCTGGAAAAGGTTGTTCATTTGAAGAGTTAAGAAAAAAGGTGCATAGTCAGAGAGGAAATTTTACTGACATCTGACAAATCCATTCACTTTTTTTTTTTTTTTTT